TTGCTATATGACAACTGATTTGCTTTCGCATCTCCAACTGATTGACTATTGCTTGCAAACTTGTAACATTCAAAAATTCTTTTTCTTTAAAATTTTTTTTTTGTTAGTTTTCAGCGCGTTATTTGCAAAAGTGTCTCCGGTTCATGTGTTTTCCATCACGCAGCTGTCTCCAAAAATTTACCTGTTTTCCGCATAATACCGACCTTTTGGGTCGTATTGACAAAAAATCCTTTGTGGCCCCGGGGGAGTAAATCATAGATCCTCGACGTATTCCTTTGTCGAGTGAATACGCAACACCTTTTTGACTACATTCAACTTAGCGCCTAACTTACAACCGTAATACCTTTCTGTTATTTACTTTTTCACAATAAGGATCGATGGTTTTATTTGAAACCCAGCTCAATTATTAGATGTTATCTACTGCGAGACCTACTCGACATTCCGAATAAAAAATTAACAATAAGTTTTAAGCATTTACAGTGGACGGTCAATGACTGCGAAAAAGTTCCAGAAAATATTCAATTCTGATGGAATGAGACTTGTGAGGCGACCAATCAATACAAAGTTAAATCCCAAATACTTAACACCTACAATGAAACTTGATAATAGCAGTGTATTTTAATGGGGTTGTTCAACATTGGTTTGGGGAAAATAACGTTCCCCAGACCTCAACTCTATTGAAAATCTCTGTATTCGTATCCAAATGTTTCCAAATAAACAATCCTTGGAAAATAAAATTAGGGCAAGATGTTTTATCAATTGCTAATGTTCAACTGTTAATATTGTTAAATGTGTTAATTCATGAAATAATCTTAAATATAATTTCTTGGTCCACTTTTGTCGCCCTTATTCTTATCAGGCATCAAGCCTAACTAACAGGTAGGTTGTAGTACAAATTATTACACGGTTACAAAGGCATTAAACCTAGTCCAGCCTAACATAAGCATTAACTCTAATAAAAACAAAAGACAATAGGAAAAAATTGAAATTAATAATTATAGTTTATGGGCCATCACGTTTTTACCTAATCGGTTAGACCATTGCATTTGGAGCACATTGAGAAAATAGGTGAAAATTTTAAAATATTTGTTCTTGGTATGGGCAAAAAAAATGTGTTGCTATATCTAGAGTTAATATGGGGAACAAGAAAATTTTGTCTATATAATCGGTCAGAGCAATCAAACAAATTTTTAAAAATTCAACGGTAATCATGACGAATTATTTCATAATACGATTTTTTTTCCAGGCTATTAAGGTGACAGGAGACCAAACTATTGACTAACTTTGACCAAAGTTATTTTTAAAGTCTCTAGTGCAATGGATTAATAGCTTTTTAAGGCTTCTGTCAGAACCTTATTAATATTATAATCATCATAATTTACTATTCCTAAACTGATTGGAAGTACACCAAAATGCTGTGAAATATTACTTTAAATGTGAAGCTAGTTAGGATGTTGTTAAACTGAAATGAAATATTTTTCTTTTAAATATAAATAAATATATAATTTGTTGCTTTACTTTTGTCCGAGTACGCATATCAAATACAGTATTAAGCAACAACCCTTAAAAGCATACTTCACAATAACAACTATTGAAAATTGAAACTATTGAATTGAAAATAACTTTTCTAACTATTGTCTAGCTAGTCCAATATTACAAGACATTATTGGATTCCATGCTAAACCATTTTTAGCCTGTTTTTAGTATTTGTATATGCTAATGGTAGAGGATAAACGAAGAATCTTCTTTTTTTTTCTAATTATCAGCCATTGAGAAATCTGCCCGATTGTTTAATCAATTTGCATTCAAGAAAGCGCCAGTCTGATGCATGTGCTAAACTTATTGTAGGTATTTATTAGGTTGTTTTGTTGCTGTAGTGGCGTAGTGTTTAGTATCAACTTAACAATTAATTAGAGAAGTTCTAGAATACTAAAATTTAGTTTAATAAAATTCTATTCGACATGACTGATGTCGAATTTCAAGTTTGTTGAATGTTTTCAACAAGTCGGTGCCTATTAATGACGTCCAAGGAAACGGACAATTTTTGTCTATAAAGCAGTGCTTATTTTCGACTCTTTTTGTACAAACCCATGCTGATTAGGTATAATGTTAATTTTCTATACCGGTTATGCAAACAGCTTGGAACAATAGGCAATAAGCTATAGCAGTGGAGATACCTCAACTGATCTTGAATATTTTGGTACATCAAAGTTACCTTAATAAATATCAAGTAAGTTTATTTTTATGGCGTTGTTTATATTTAAAACTACTTGGAGTTAAATACTAACCAAACTATAATTAAAGATTGCAACCTACTTTATGTATAGCCACTAGCTTCCTAAAGTCGTATTATTTATTGGGAAGAAGGGTCAGAATAATTTAGTTTTAGTTTTTGCCCTTGATAATTATTTTTGGATTATATTGGCCAGACAATGGCAATTTATTATAGCGAAACTATATTTTGAAATATTTTAATCACTGTTTATACTTTGTTACCACTACAATTCAATTCTTAAATAAAAATTAATTTTGTCACTAATGAGACGTTTGGACCTAAGCATATAACAGTTGTAATGGAATTTGTTGTAATTCCTGAACGGTTTGCATTGTATTTCACTTTATATAACATACATATTATTTCTAATTATTATAAATTGCTTTGAGACTATTTAATTATCTTTTTCGGCTCATTATCTATCGAATTTATTGAAAAATTCAAATTAATTAATAGTATTGTAACATGCATTTATTCCTCTGATTTATACTTCATGTTGTAAAATGGTTTGGAATAGAAAATGCATGGTGAAAAATATTTTTGAACATATACGATTAATAATTTCACCAATTTGGAAATACGAGAGCTAAATTCTGTTTTTGTGTATAGACCCTAAAACTTACACTTATTAATTATTTTTTTCACCTAGCCCAAGCGGAGGAATTGAAACCATATTCATTCCTGATCGCAAATAAATTTATCAAAATTTAACATTTTAATGTCAGTCCATTTCGCGCGAATTTTGTCAAAAAGGTAAGGTTTTTATTAACAATTGCAAAAATTATAGAAAAAATAATAAAATTTCCCTTGGTGGAACTTTGAACAACTATATCTCAAAAACCGGACATAGGTTCGAATTAAGCATATAAATACACTTATTCAGAATGTCGATCACTGTAACGTACTAAATTAAAAAAAAATCATAAAAGTCATTTTGCATAAGAAAAGTGACGGGTACTTTTCTGAAATAAGCTATGCAATGCTTGAACTTTTTAAAAAGTTGCCATTAACACTGTTTTGCTTGACGCTCAAACTAAAGAGAGAAGATAAGAACATTGGTCTATGAAACTTTGGTTTTAGGTATGTTTGTCTAAGTAAATTATTTCAATACTAAATATGGAATATATTTAAAACAAGTGAACTCAAAATGTTAATAAAATATTTGTGTTTAAAATGAAGGTGCTTTAAATTCAATTAGAAAAACAAGCACACTCTCGTAATTAATTCTTATTTGTTCTTTCATATACTTTTTATTTTTCTATCAGATATCTTAACATTTTGGTTGGTTTGGTAGTTCAATGGGAACTACTCAGAAAATAATTGCCGTCGAAAGAGAACCAGAACCGTTAGAAGTAAACGACACAGTATTATATTCAAACAGAACCACACTTAAAAAGCCGAAGCTCAAAGATTTTTGCGGAAAAAACGAGAGACAAAGCTCAAAATAGCCACTCTGTGCTAGGTACTTTTCAAAAGCAAAAGTAAAAGTCGTCTTTCCAGTGATCGCTGAAAACCGCAGAAATCTGCAAGACACTCTACAGAAACGTTTAAAAGACCTTTTTCGTATCAGATTGTATCTATTTTTCAGAGATCTATAATGTAAGTGATACATTTGTGTACAAAAATAAGATGTTTCAAATTCTGAATTTCGGTATTCATTAACAAATCTCTGCTTCAAATATTTTACAACGTTAAAAAAAACATGAAATATACCTCGCACAATTACTTTGGCTTTTACTTTCGCTAGAACTGTTTTTTAAACAAATTATTTGTTAAAACTAAATGTCAAAATAAATTCATTTGTTTTGTTAGTGAAGTGTCCGATAATGTAGATCATGTAAATGTGTGTCTTCTTAAGAGTTATATGAATCTAAAGATGGTTTACCAGTTTCGCTCCTACCTAAATAAAAGGAGAAAAACATCTTTTTGTTTCTTTCTCAAGTAAACTATTGTAATCAAGCAATTTTGAAACAAGTGGACTCAAATAAGATTGAAAAATTGCATAATTTATAATAATTATTTAACAAGTAATACATTGACATCAAGTAATCGGTTAACCATATAAAGTAGAAGGTACTTAACATTCTGATGAGCTTCTATTTTTATATAATAAGAATGATATATTACTTTATAACAAAATTACGTCACATATAAATGTTCGTTTTCGGGGTGGAAATAACCCTCCAAAATGCTAAACAGAAATGTTTGAAACTGGGTCTAAAAGAACTTTTTCGTAGAAATTGTCTCTATTATTAATCAACTTCCATTACAGATCTATAATATTATTAGCGCATTTGTGTTTAAAAAGAACGTGCTTCAAACTCTGGTTGATAAACAAAAACGCCCTCGCAAATTAATTCTTATCTTTTTTTTTTGTAAATTAAGTTTAAGCATATTTTGTTGATGTCAAATTTTCTTTTCTCGTTAATATTTCTAGATGCGAATCATAAACAAAATCTGTATGTGATATTTATTACCGTTGTTTTATTTAATTATGCACGAAGCATATGCCATTTCTTTTCCACTTTAGGCGTAAGCAAAGGTGAACTCGTTATATTTTTTGCATTGCTGTGCGAAAAATGTACGACTTTAATCTAAATGACACGTTTGTGTTTAACTTTCCACCTGGAAGGTTTAATATATTTGTGTCGATGAAAATTGCAAGGCCTTCCTTATGGTTGTTATTACTCCAGCATGCTGATAGTACAATTCCATCGACTTTTACCTGTTATAAGAGAGAAGCAACTCAATGCGATGACGAACTCAAAGAAACGGCCCATATTAACTAGCTGTCCTCGGATTATCCTCGATATATTTTCAGTTTCTTATCATCACGGTCACCGCCGCTTGTTTTTGGTCTAATTTTAGCACCAATATCGTTATCCTGGCCCGCGTTGTTACGATATTCATCCGCAACCGTGGCAGTTATTTCCAGCAATCACGAAATGCATATACACGCGATGCGAGTGAATGTCGTTTGAGCTCGTCGAACACGGAACTCACGCCAAACGCAACGAAATAAAGTCCTCCGCAGAAAAAAATGACGACGGCGATTTCGGCGGTCAAAACAGGAGTCGCGTCTTCCCCGAACGTAATCTGCCGGGTTAGATCGTGAAAGAGCCGGGCGCTCTAACGTAGTTTCCACGCAGCGCACGGCGATAACCGACTGAAAAGCGCTCCATCGCGTACCGGGATGGAGCCTGAATGATTCTCCCCACCACCGCGCGGTCTCCGAGCGAGGATTTACTATAGAGCAGTCGAATTTCAGCGAGAGCTTTCAAAGCTCGCCGGCCGGCGTTGGCGCTTTCGCGGGTTATGCTCGCCCAGTAGACGGCACGCCGCTGAAATACCCATTCAACAATGAAAAACTACGAAAACTTCACGAGCCTGCTGTTGAAGCAAGGTGAATTAAGTTGTTACACTGTAAATCACGAAGGAAGACACTTTCGTCGGTATATTATTTTCCAAGAAAATAGATTCAAAATTTTTGATGTATTAGAAAAAGACAGTTATGGTCTGTTCATAGATATAAGAAAGTGACCAATTGCTTTTGAATGGGATTATCCAAGGGTGGTCATTAACAATGCAACAAGATTATTACCTAAAGTTTCGGAATTTAAATAACAGGTAAAATTGTGGTCCGTAATAGAAAATATTTTTATACCTACCTATGTTTAGTATTCTTTGGTTTGGTATATCATTCTTATTCGTGTGCGAATTATGCAAAATATGTGAGAGTCTAGTGTATGTCAGGAGATGCTCCCGCCCAAATGCAGAAAACACTATTCTATTGAGACTAAGGAAGTTATAAACAATGTTTAATTGACTCCTATTCAACTTGGTGCCAGCAAGCAAGCATCTTTAGAAGAAACGACCACATTAACGAAAATTCCAACATCAACTGTATGGAAAATTTTCTCGAGTGTAGATGAAAGTGATCAAGATATAATACGGCGTAAAATTTACCAGTTATACGAGGAACAAAGCGTGCTTACATTAAATATCTTAATTACGCTTGAAAAAGATAAAACCGGTGTTAAATGTGGCAGAACTACCTTATGGAAGTGTATTCAACACATGGGTTTTAGATTTAAAAAAATTGACAAAAGGCAAGTTTTAATGGAATTTTTTAGAATTTGAAAATGGCGACTGGAATATCTAGAAAAAATTAGGATTTACAGAGAACAACAAAGGCCAATTATTTACTTGGTTGAAACCTGGTTCGACACTTATGATACCCCGGAAAAGGGTTGGATTGACTCAACTGATAAGTGTAAAACAAAAGCGCCATCAAAAAGAGGTAAAAGAATAACTATTTTGCATGCTGGCTCTAAAGATAGTTGGATTCCAAATGGACTTTCTTTGTCTGCGTAAGATATTAAAGATTCTTCTCTGGATTACCATGAAGACACCACCGCTGATTTATTTGAAGGTTGGTTTAAAAACAAACTAGTTCCAAACATTCCTCCTAATAGCGTAATTGTAATGGACAATGCAAGTTATCACAGTAGACAGTTGACTAAAACCCCTTCTTCATGTGACACAAAAGCAACAATCCAAAACTACATGTATAATAACGACATTTATTTTCACGAAGATTATAACAAAAAGCAATTAATTGAGGTTCTGCAAAGCTTGAATCTATAAAAGGAATACGTCTGTGATAATTATGCAAAAAATCTAGTGCGTTCAGTTTTAGCATTGTATATTTAATCCCATTGAACATGTTAGGCACCAACTAAAATCTGCCATTCGTCTTAACAATGTTTTTCCCCGTGTTAACTCCAATGTCCTCAAACTTATAGAAAGCGAAGTTTTGAACATCCCTCCACAAAGTTGGGCAAATTCTGTTAAACAAAAAAGCAGAACAATCGTATATCCATATTGCAAATAATATAGAACAAATAATAATTAGAACAGGCGATGATAGCGATAGTGATACTGATATATTATGTGAATAATTTTAAGTCATTTAAGTAGGTAATAAAAATAATTTGTAATTTTATTTCAGATTTAAACATAAATACTTACATAAAAAAATAAATATTGTTTAATATCTTTCCTAACAAAACCCCAAATAATTAAATTCTAAGCAAAGTACGGATCTGTTCGGCCATATTTCATTCTTACAGCTTGCCCGGATCTTTCCTTAATTCGTATCAGTTAGTCACTTTCTTATATCTGTGAACACACTTTACCAATTTTTTTTAGGCAAGCTCTTTTAATATCAAAATATTAACTTTTAGTCCCGGTACTTGTCTTTCAGTTACATTTTTTTTTGTACATTAAGTTTGGACAAACTGTCTGGAAATTTTCGTTAAGCGTTACACTGTAAATCACAAAAGAAGACACTTTTGTCGGTATATTACTTTCTAAAACAATAGATTCCAAATTTTTAATGTATTAGAGAAAGACAGTTAGCAATTTTGTTGTATTAAGCATCATTTAAATATGTTTGTTTTTTTCAAAACAAATTACTTTTGTCAGCATTATAATTAAGGTAGCTACGTAGCAAATAAATACGCCCAGCAGTGTTCTAGAGGATATTTCTCCCGTAAATCCTTTTAAAAAGTTTGAGATCTCAAAAATATATTATAATATTAATATCGTCGAAACAAGCCATAGAAATACCTTAGAAAGCTCTTTTAACCAAAATATTAACTTTTACTTCCCAAACTTGTCTTCCAATTACATTTTCTGACACCATTTGTATCTTACACATTAAGTTTGGACAAACTGTGTGAAACATACTAAAATTATTTTAGAGTGGTATAGCAAAATCATTTTTATTAAAATAGAGCTTAAAATAATTTCACTTTATTCAGAAAGTGGCAGTGAAGGTGAACTTAATGTAGTAGTAGTAGTACTGTACTCTCATTTAGAACGAAATATTATGGGGTACCTACTAACAAAAAATAATTTAGTATTTACAATAAAATGTATTTTAAAAACTATGTCGTGATATTCCTAACCAACAGGTGGAAAATTTAACACATAATATATTTTGATTTCTATACAATTTATTTTTGTTTATACTCACCTATTTGAGAATCTTGTTAAAATCGAATTGTTAGTTAATATTTATTTAAAAAAATATTCAGAAAATATTCTACCATAACAATGAATCTGCATTAAATAATTTACAAATCTTGGATAATAATAATAATAATAATAAAAGATTTTCGCCCTAAAAAAAAATTAAATTCATTAAATATTTTGGTCTAAAATTATTGCCCATTTATGAGAGGTAATGCTACCCTAGAATACTTTTTACTTTTATACTATAGTAAAATATAACTCAAGTGACTTTTCTTTTAAACCAAATTTATTTAGTACAGACTGTAAAAAAATGACGAAAAATAAGGAAACTAAAAATAATTGTCATAAACATTAACCTTAACCTAACCTTGCTTACCCTGTCATTATCGGTCATAACATGACCTCGTGACCTTACTGAGCTTGTCACCAAATTACGCTCATTTATTAGTTCATACAATTGACGTAATTGTCATCTTTTGTGAAGTTTACTATATCTCAGACGATTACAGCTGGCATCACAAAGTCATTAAAAAAAATCCCAAATCTATTTACTATTTGGGACATATGAAGAAAATCCATATTAAAAAAATAACAGGTTAAGAATAACCGGAAAATATATACCTAAGCAAGTCACGGCCAACATAAAATTCTCCATACCCTAACTAGAAACAACTATTAAAGAAATGGATAGCTGAATGGCTCAGTCCAAAATACTCAAGCTTTATCAGAACACCGAGATCTAGCGTAAATCTGTTTTTTTCAAATCAAAAACAATTTTCAAATATTTAACCACATTTTAAGCATTTTTCTTCAGCAAATTTAAATGCAAAATTAACTTTTATTCCCCATACCGTCTTTCTGTGACATTTTTTGACACCATTTATATTTTAATGCGTTCTTTCGACATCTATAGCGGGATTGGCACAGTAGAAATATGAATAAGGGTTTGAAAATTTACTGTGCAAAACCCTATGTTTGCCTCAAAAGTCGCGCATGTGAAAAAATTGTTTTAAACTGACCGTCATTTATAATTTTTATTTAAACAAGTTTTTGCTATGCAACGTAAAACTCTTAACTCTCAATCGCAGGCTCTAATAGGTCTTTGATAAATTATATTCAACAAGAAAAGCCTTTATTACTACTAATAACTAACTAATAACTAACAAAATTGTGTAGTATTTCGTTCCTTCTAATTTTTCAGCGAGTGGTTCGAGCGATAAATATAATTTGTCCATTGTTGCAAGAATGAAAGAGCATTTAAAATCCAACGATAATGTAATAAGATCATCAGGAAAGACGAGACCTCAAACAAAAACCAAGACGACTGATCTAAGTCATGTAGTTAGATGTAGTATACGAGACACGGTGTATCAAATGTATAGTAAAAGTTTTCATTCATAACCATGCAAGTTAGTGTATGATGATTAAACATGAAAAACATGTCACAGTAGCAACTTTAAATAGAAAGCTTAAAGTACAAGAACTTGCTTTTACCAGCAATGGTTCTTTGCAGAGCCCAGCATAGGTTATAAGTAAAAAAGAAGATGATTACCGAAGATATCTTATGGAACAAACCAATGTTTCATTACTTAGAATTAAATTTTTAGGAATTTACCAGTATGTGTAATATGATGTGTATTACGAGTAAAGTGTAAGAAAGAATCCCTGTAAAAGTTCTTCTAAAAAAGATATCAGCGACTGGTTTGTTAAAAATAAAATTGCTAACACAGCTAACATAAACAGCTAAACAGCTAACATAACAATATTATAATTATTTGATATATTGAAAAGAAATAGCAAAGAAGAGAAATGTGAAGATGAAATAATCAGAAGTCATGAAGTACTTCATACCCCTTCATACCAGTGAGAAATGAATGGTAGTGAGTTAATATGGTGGCATGCTAAACAGTAGTAGTGTATAACACAACCATTTAAAAAAAAATAGACCCCATAATAATTTCACTGAATTCAGAAAGTGATACTGAAAGTGAAGTGTAGTAGTAGTAGTAATAGACTCTAATTTAGAACGAATCAGTTTAACGGATATTTTAAAAATTATGTTGTGATATTCCAATGCAAAATATGGAAAATTTAACACAG